ACCCAGGGGGATAGCTTGAGGCTCTGTCTCAAAAAAAAAAAAAAAAAAGAAAAAATCGTAAGCCCATAAATAATGTCGAACATCATTTTAACTGATACCCCCTTCCTGGTTAAATCTAGTACCAAAACTTCTTATAACAGCTTCCCAAGTAGCTGGGACAACAGGTGCCCACCACAACTCCCATCTATTTTTGTTGTTGTTGTTGTTGTTGCAGTTGTCATTGTGTTTAGTAGGCTTAAGCTGAGTTCGAACCAGCTGGCTGGTCCCCTAACCACTGTGCTATAGAGTCAAAAGACACCAATTTTTTTTTTTTTTTTGAGACATAGCCTCAAGCTGGGTAGAGTGCCATGGCATCACAGCTCACAGGAACCTCCAACTCCTGGGTTTAAGCGATTCTCTTACCTCAGCCTCCCAAGTAGCTGGGACTACAGGTGCCCACCACAATGCCTGGCTATTTGGGGGGAGGGGCGCTGTAGTTGTCGTTGTTTGGCATGCCTGAGTTGGATTCAAACCCTCCAGCTCTGGTGTATGTGGCTGGCACCTTAGCTGCTTGCTTGAGCTACAGGTGCCCAGCCAAAAAGACACCAATTTTAATGCGGCTCTTTGACATTCCACCGCTCACATTTGTTGGGGCAGCAAAAAACAGGCAGAAACTAAAATAGTGTAGTTGTGAATAAGAAACCACTGCTGAACTACAGTCTTTCTAGCACCACCACAGGAAGCCCAAGAGTAAGTTTTTTTTTTTTCCACTACTTGTTGGATATTTATTTTGCACTGAATTGTAATGATTAGGAATAAATGAAATAGTGATAGCAAAAGTGTGATTGCTATTTGTTTCTGTGCTAAGCACTTTGTATAATTATTGTATGTGTCCCCAAAATGGGCCTTGTAAACTTTTTTTTTTTAAATGAAGACTGTTTTACTTCTTTTTTTTTTTCCAAGAGTAAGTTTACGATGGGAGCTCAAAATAGAATCCATGCCAAAACTGTGATCCTCAGCTTACCCCAAATGCCTGTGGCTTACAGCTGAAAGGAAGCCCTGGTACAAGTGGTCCTAATTGGGATCCTGGTGATAGTCAGAATCAAACATTCAAAGAGTGACTCTGAACCCTAGCTGCACAACAGAACACGAGAGATGCTTTAGAAAATATCATTGTCCATACATTCCCCAGATTCTAACTATTTGGTCTGATTTGGACAAAGGTATCTGTAGTTAATAGTAACAACAATAATAAAACCCCAGGGCCGGGCGCGGCGGCTCACGCCTGTAATCTTAGCACTCAGAGGGTGAGGCGGGTGGATTGTTTGACTCAGGAGTTGAGGACCCGCGGACCAAGAGCAGAACCTGGTCTCTGCTAAAAATAGAACAATTAGCCAGGCATTGTGGCGAGCGTCTGTCGTTCCAGCTACTCAGGAGGCTGAGGCAAAAGGATCGCTGAGCCCAGGAGTTTGATGTTGCTGTTAGCTATGACGCCATCGCACTCTAGCCTGGGACAACAGAGTGAGTCTCTGTCTCAAAATAATACTAATATTAATAGTAATACTAAACCTCTAGGTGAGTCACTGCAGCCAATTGCGAACCACTGCTCTAGAAGCTGAGTCAGACTATCAGCAGCGCCGTGCCTCTGATCATAGCTAAATCACGCCAATGACCCTCGTGTCGCGACAGGAATCCGAATTCGCTCTACCTTGTTCCAAGAAAACTTAAAAACAGCAAAACTGTAATACGGAGACTTCGCCTCCACAGCAATGTCATGCTTCCCAATGCTCCCAGATCTAGCAGTACACAGGAGAATGAGCGCCAAGGGTTAGGTAAGAGCCACCCCGCGCTTCCCAGACGCTTATATCCCATCTACATTCCTCACCAGCAATTCGCGACACACATCGGGATACTCACAACCTCCCAGATTCTCCAGTCTCCACCTTCCTGGCTTCTGAGACCTTCTACTTCCGCCCGGTCAAGTGCACTTCCGTCGGCGCCGACCAATAGCGTTGCTGTTTGCAAGGTATCCTGGGTATTGTAGTGGAAACTTCAGGGAGGGAAGGCCTCGCTGTCGCTATGTTACGTCACTGTACGGAATGAAATTTGAGAGGCGGTTGCCATCTTGGGTTACGGCAAAACTCCGCATTACTCAGCATCTCTCGCTCACATACACGCACGAAAGAAAAGAAAAGGTCTGTCTCCATGGTTGTCGTTTTAGTTACTCTGACTTTTCTCGTTCTAGGAATGTGGAGGGGAATCGTGAAGCATAAACCTTGTCTAAAAATAAAATTTTCCCTCTAGTGGATCTCAAAGTGCACATTTAACAGGATCTACTGTGGGTCCAGCAGTTTTCATTATCATACTAAGTTATTTACCTTTTTCACACTCATTTTCTCGTGAATGTACCCTGGAGATTTCCAGAGGCTATTTCATTTGCTAGGGAAAGCAGGAGGATATAGAAAAGTTCAGCTTTTGATTAAGCCAGAGATTTCCAGAAATGTGATACAAAGCCACTCTGCTCATTATATTTCGTAGAATATAATTATTAATCATAAAAGTATGATTTATGTTAGTATATAATGGGTGTATTGTTATCTTGAATTAACAACTATTAAAAAATGTTCAGTTCTAATTTCTAATATGGTAAATATTGATAGGTATAACCCCCCACAAACAAAGCTTTTTGTGGTCCTCAATAATTTTTTTTTTTTTTTGCAGTTTTTGGCCGGGGCTGGGCCTGAACCCTCCACCTCTGGTTTATCCGGCCAGCACCCCACTCCTTTGAGCCACAGGCACCACCCAGTCCTCAATAATTTTTAAGAGTGTAAAGGTTTTGGAAAATCTGTTTAGACCAACTGTGAGCTGTTGCCCTATACATTGGGTCAAGAAATGTTCATTGGGGCAGTGCCTGTGGCTCAAGGAGTAGGTTGCCCCCATATACCAGTGGGTGGAGGTTCAAACCCGGCCTGGTCAAAACTGCAAAAAAAAAAAAAAAGAAAGAAAGAAAGAAAGAAAGAAGGAAATGTTCATTGGCCTCTTTGCCTTGCTCCCTCCTTGTGGCAGTGGGGCCCTTTTGCTGGCTATGTTCATTGCATTTTGTTCTGTAAATCTGTATCTTGCTCTGTAAGCCTATCTTTCTCTTCCTCAATAAGCTTTGTTTCATGCTTCCCTTACCTTAGGGTGTCTGGTCATTTTTTGACGAAGAGCACCCCCAAAACTGAGGACACAGTCAGTGGCCTTGAGAGAGGATACCAGAGAGGGGCGAGGTCTGGGAGAATAGGTCTTCTCAGGGAGACCACGAGGATGCACCTGCAGGGCCCTCTCTATGGTGACTCAGCTCTTAGGAATTTATAGGCTTAACTCCCTGGAACTTGGAAATTTCCAAGTTCTGTGAAATCCTGTAGTTCTGTAGGGGCTGGAGTAGCATCTCCCACTTGATTCAAACTGGCCAATGGGAAGGGTGCCTGTGGGGTGGAACTTTTTGACTGTCAATAAAAAGAGAAAGACCAAGCCAGTTGGGGAGTGTGGCCATTTGGAAATCTTCTATGCCATAAGCTCCCAGCCGATGAATAAAGCCCTTCCTCTTATAACTATGGTGTTTGGGTGCTCTTTCTCTTCGTTGGGCCTTGTCTTCCTGCAACAGCCTGAAACCCGGACACATTATAGGAGATAGGCAGCCTCCTTGCACTCTGAAAGATATTTGGAAGAAACTGAATGATTCACTGCTTAAAAAGAACCGGATGGCAGGAAACTGAAGGGTGAGTCCTGGGGGGGCGGGGAGGGCAGAGACATGGAATCTTAGATCTGCCCGGAAGTGCCTCTGCTCCTTTTCTTGGTGGAGGGCCTGGCATTTTTTGCAGGTGATATTTGGCCTCCTTCTCCTGTATGCTCTGGGCAGTAGCTCCCTCCACCTACTGGCCTGTTCTAGGCAGGAGCTTCCAACTATGTGTCTTGAAGAATAGAGGGTACCTGTAAAGCTATTCAAGGTCAAGATGAATACAGACCTAAAGGAGGTTATATCCCTAGATAGTCACTGAGGTATAGGAAGAGAGTCTGATCATGAACGTGAGGTAGAAACTCATTTTCAAAAGCAGGAATACAAAAAAGAAATTAAAAATAAAAAGAACAAAAGCAGGAATACAGACTGAAATGCAATAATCACTGGCAAGGGAAATCTATTTTTCTTTTTTACTTCAGATAGAGTCTCACTTTGTTGCCCTAAGCTCCAGCGGATCTACCCTTCTGGGCCTCCTAGAGTGTTAGGATTACAGGGGTGAGCCACCGTGCCAAGCTTACGGGAAATCTTCTGAAGGCACTTGGGGCAACTCTGCTACCAGGAGACCCCTGGACCAAGAGAGGCTCTTACTCAACTCCAGGAACTTTGTCACCAATGGTTGAGGCCACACATGAGCACAAAGGAGCAGATTTTGGATCTGCTGGTGCTGGAGCAGTTCCTGTCCATCCTGCCTGAGGAGCTCCACGGCTGGCTGAGGGAACATTGTCCAGAGATTGGGGGTAAGGCTGCGATTTTGCTACAGGATTTAGAGAGAGAATTAAACGAACCATAACACAAGATGGTAGCTCACAGACACAAACAAGTTCTCTCTGAAGAGATAGTGACCAGATATCATTGAGCCTTCAGTCCCAGCCTAAGGAACTCCAGCTCACATGTGACCCAGCTGAGGAAGTCCATTCTTTTGGAGAGACAGACAGATTTCTGTTTTCCAAACCTGTTGTGATCCCCCAGCTACAAGGAGAAGAACCATGGCCTAATAACAGAGGAGTCCCAAGAGATGAAATGACCAAGACTGAGGACAGAGAGCGGGTGCTAAGGAAAGACTGTCCTAAGAAAGAACTAGATGGGAAAATACTTCATGAACAGACCTGGGAGGTATCACACCAGGATCCCCAATATGGACAAGGTGTGGCACATAAACATCTGAGAGACAGGCTGTAAGGAAACCCCACAGGAGAGGGGCAACACGGATGTGGTGAATGGGGGAAGATCTTTGCTCAGAGTTCGGGTCTCATTTGACATCATAAGATTCACACAGGAGAAAGATACTAAAGATGCAATGAGTGTGGGAAAACTTTCAGTCACAGTTCTGGTCTTTTTAATCACCAAGGAATCCACAAGTCTTCCCGCTGTAAGGAGCATGGGAAGGCCTTCAGCCCGAGGACAGGTCTTATCAGAGAATCCACAAGGGGAAAAAGCCCTATCATCGCAGCCACTGTGGTAAGAACTACAGTTGGCGTTCATTTCTCTTTGAACATCAGAGAAGACACACAGGGGAGCTACCTCCCCTGTACATTGAACATGGGAAAAGATTTACTCTCTGCTTCAGCCTCATCTGCCTTCAGAAGAGTCACACAGAGACTGAGCTGGTCTACTCCTTGCCGTGACCAAGCTTTCCAGATCACTGGCCAAAACATGTGGGGTAGGGGACAGCCAGAAAAGGCCTCTTTCTTCCTGCCGCCACTAAATGTGTTTAGAACAATTATTGACTGTGGTCCACGGACTTCCAAAGAGGGAAGTTTGGGTTCTTGAAGCTGCTGCACTCCCTTTTGTTCATTTACCCCTTTCCTATTCTTACTGGCCTTGTCTCTCATATTAATTCTCTTTGAGATGGCTGCTAAACCGTCTTACTTAGGAAATAAATGGTACTGCTAGAGCCAAAAAATAAACTGTTCATTGACCTTGGCTGGGAGTGGTGGCTCATGCCTGTAATTCTAGCATGCTGGGAGGCCATGGTGGGAAGATGGCTTGAGCTCACAGTTTGAATCTACATTCACATTTTATAAAATTTACATTTGAAAAGTAAATTCATAGATCCAAGTTTTTCAAAAATACTTTCCTAAACTGATTCAAATATTGGGTGGAGCTTGTAGCTCAAAGGAGTAGGGCACTGGCCTCACATACCAGAGGTAGTGGGTTCAAACCTGGTCCTGGCCAAAAACTGCCAAATAAAACCCCCAAAATTGATTCAAATATCAGTTTTTAAATTTAAATTAATTAAAATCAAATAAAATGAGTAAGTCTTGGTTGCACTAGCCACATTTCAAATGTTCAGTGCTCACATGTGGCTAGTGGCTATTGTATTGGATGGGACAGGATTAGACCTTAAAGAACAGCTAATTAGCATTTATAGTGAACTTATGTGCCCCAAGTGCTGTGTTCATTATTTTATATTTGTAATTGTAGGTAACTTACAATAACCTTCCCTTATTCCTTACAATCCTTTTCTAAAACAGTAAACAGATTTTTTTATTTAAATTAATTATTATTATTTTTTTGAGACAGAGTCTAACTCTGTCACCCTCGGTAAAGTTCTGTGGCATCATAGCTCACAGCAACTTCGAGCTTATGGGCTCAAATGATCCTCTTGTCTCAGCCTCCCAAGTAGCTAGGACTACAGGTGCCAGCCACAATGTCTGGCTATTTTTAGAGAATGGGTCTCACTCTTGCTCAAGGTGGCTCTAACTCCTGAGCTCAGGCAATCCACCCACCTTGACCTCCTGGAGTGCTAAGATTACAGGTGTGAGCCACCTGGTCCCAAACTGATCTTTTAAAAACATGTATCCTATACAATTCTTAACCACTTGTATTGATTGCCCACCCTGATTAGAATAAAATCTAAAATCCTTCCTATGATCCATAATGCTCATGCTTCCGGGCCTCTACCTTTCCCTTGGACCTCATGGGTACCATTTTCCCTCTTGGACTCCATGCTGCTCTGTTTTTAAATCAACAATCCTTTTTCCATCTCTACGCCTTTGAGCTCTCCTCCCTGCTGCCTGATGCTATTAACAGCTCTTCCTGTGGTTTGCTCAATCTCTTGCTTCAGGTCTTCCCTGGATGTCACTTAAGCGGCTCACTGTAGTACATCATCATCTATATCACCATCATTTATTACTGTCTGTAACAGTGTCGAATATTTATTTACTTGATTCTTATAACTCTACTACATTGTAAGATCCACAAACAGAGGGATCTTGTCTGTCTTATTTGCTGTGCAATGTCTGGAGTTTTAGATCTTTACAGTTCGTGACACACAGCAGGCACTCAAATATTCGTTATATAAACACACGAAATTTATAGGTTCTATTATCACAAATGATAAGACTAAGGTTGAGAGAGGTTAAAAGTTTTAACTTTAACCCAAGGGGCAGCGCCTATGGCTCAGTGAGTAGAACACCGGCCACATATACCGAGTGTGGCAGGTTCAAACCCAGCTCCGGCCAAACTGCAACAAAAAAAAAATAGCCAGGCATTGTGGCAGGCACCTGTAGTCCCAGCTACTTGGGAGGCTGAGGCAAGAGAATCACCTAAGCCCAAGAGCTGCAGGTTTCTGTGAGCTGTGACACCACAGCACTCTACCGAGGGCAACGAAGTGAGACTTGGTCTCTAAGAAAAAAAAAACAAACATTTTTCCCAAGATCACAAAATTAGTAGAACAGATTAGGGACTTAAAATCCAATCTAACCACAAACTCTATGCTCTTCTAAAGAACAAAGGGGCCTGGCAGACATAATAACCTTAACAGCAAAAAGGAGAAGTAGTTTGTAGGTGATTTATATCTATACCAATATATATGGATATATATTTGGCAGGAAAACTCAGCAGTATTTCGGTGTCAGGCAAATGGCTCAGAGCCTGGTTAAGATGAGGCTTTTAATGCTGGTGGTGGATGGGTGAAGGTACCATGTGAAATGAACACTGACAGCCTTGGAGAGAGTCCTCCAGAAGGCTGCCGAGGCAAGCATCCTGCTCCTACTTGCCTGAGTGCCCAGTCCCCCTTTGCCCTCAACCTTGGTCATTTGGACCAAGAAAGACTGTTCAGAGCTTCAATCATAAATGGAATGACTGAGCTAGCACATTTTCCCCCCTTGGATTCATCAGCTGGACTAAACAATTTATTCTGAGTTATGAAACAAACATCCAGCACTCACTTTATTATATTGAATGCCATTTCCCATTTAAAAACATAAAGCACTGTGTCCATGATGTACAAACCATTGCAAGTTCAGACAGGAAGCTAATGTTGGTCCAGCAGGTGGCAAGGACTAGAGTCCTGTGGAAGAAGAGGACATTTGCTGGGCACTGACTGAGTGACAAGCACTGTGCTGCACATGGTCAGCTGTCATTCCCCTCACTGCATCCTCTCAGGCGCGCTTTGAAGGGGAAAGAGATCATTTCACTCCAGAAAGGAGAATAGTTCCTTTGTCATCCCTGTCCAAGTCAAAGCAGAGGTAGCTGATGTTTAGATTGCGGAGTGATCTACAAATTTCTCAGTAAGCAGCTCAGTCCGGGGACTGAGATCTCAGCTGACTGTCCACTCTCTGCAGAGAGCTACTCTGATGCCACTGTGCTCTAGTGCGGGCAAAGAGTAAGATCCTGTCTCAAAAAAAAAAAAAAGAAGAAAGAAAAGAACCTCAAAACAACAACTAACCATTTAAATAGTAAGACACGAAACCATTAAATTGTAGAAGAAAATATAGGATAAACTCTTCTGGGCATTAGCCTCAAGCTATTCCCCTGGGTAGAGTGCTGTGGCATCACAGCTCACAGCAACCTCCAACTCCTGGGCTCAAGTGAGTCTCCTGCCTCAGCCTCCCAAGTAGCTGGGACCACAGGCACCCACGAAAATGCCTAGCTATTTTTTGGTTGCAGTCATCATTGTTGTTTGGCAGGCCAGGGCTGGATTTGAACCCACCACCTTAGGTGTATGTGGCTGGCACCTTAGCCACTTGAGTCACAGGCGCCAAGCCTATGACAAAGACCTTAAAAGCAAATACAGCAACAACAAAAATAAATAAATGGCACTTAATTAAACTAAAAAGCTTCTGTATAGCAAAAGAAATAAATAGACAGAATGGGAGAAAATGTTTGTGGAACTATATATTCAACAAAAGACTAATATCCGGAATCTACAAAGGATTCATATCAATAAGAACAAACAAACAAACAAGCAAGAAAACCATCAAATGTGGACAAAGACATGAACAGATTTTTCTCAAAAGAAGATAGACAAATGGCCAAAAAGCATGGGGAAAAAATGCTCAATATCACTAATCATTAGTGAAATGCAAATTAAACCACAGTGAGCTACCAACTCACCCATTAGAATGGCCATTATAAAAAAGATGCTGGCATGGCGGTGCCTGTAGCTCAGTGGGTAGGGTGCCCACATACACCAAAGCTGGAGGGTTCAGACCCAGCCTGGGCCAGCTAAAGAAACAACAATGACAATTGCAACAACAACAACAAAAACCTAGCCAGGCGTTGTGGTGGGCGCCTGTAGTCCCAGCTACGTGGGAGGCTGAGGCAAGAGAATCACTTAAACTCAAGAATTTGAGGTTGCTGTGAGCTGTGATGTCACAGCGCTCTACCCAGGGCAACAGCTTGAGACTCTGTCTCAAAAAAAAAGGAAAAGAAAAGAAAAGGGACAGTGTCTGTGGCTCAAAGGAATAGGGACCTGGCCCCATATGCCGAAGGTGGTGGGTTCAAACCGAGCCCTGGTCAAAAACTGCAAAAAAAAAAAAAAAAAAAAAGAAAGAAAGAAAGAAAGAAAGAAAGAAAAGAAAAGATGCTGGTCTGGGTGCAGTGAAAAGGGAACACTTATGCATTTTTGGTGGGAATGTAGACTATACAACTGCTTTGGAAAACAGTATGAAGATTACACAATGAATTAATTAAAAATAGACCTACCATTTGATCCAGCAATCCCACTACTAGGTATGTACCCAAAGAAAAATAAGTCATTTTACAAAAAATACACCTGCACCCAAATATTTATTGTAGCATGATTCAGCACAGTCCACAATTTCAAAGATATAGCATCAACCTAGGTGCCCATCAACTGATGAGTAGCTAAAGAAACTGTGACACACACTCGTACCTTGGAGTACTCCTCAGCCATAAATAGGGATGAAATAATGCCTTTTGGAGCAACTTAGATGGAACTGGAGACCACTACCCTCAGTGAAGTATCTCAGGAATGGAAAAACAAATACCACGTTTTCACTTATAAGTGGGAGCTAAATGAAGGATTTATTTATTTGTTTGTTTGTTTATTTATTTATATTTGAGACAGAGTCTCACTTTGTTGCCCCTGGTAGAGTGCCATGGCATCATAGCTCACAGCAACCTCAAACTCTTGGGCTTAAGTGATACTCTTGCCTCTGTCTCCCAAGTAGCTGGGACAACAGGCACCCACAACAACACCTGGCTATTTTTAGAGACAGGGTCTTGCTCTTGCTCAGGCTGGTCTCTAACTCCTGAGCTCAAGTAACTCACCTGCCTCGGCCTCCCAGAGTGCTAGGATTATAGTCATGAGCCACTGTCCCTAGCCTAAATTGTTTTCTAAAATTTTTTTTATTAAGATGAAATTTAGGGGCGACGCCTGTGGCTCAAAAGAGTAGGGCACCGGCCCCATATGCTGAAGGTGGCTGGTTCAAACCCAGCCCCAGCCAAAAAAAAAAAAAAGAAAGAAAGAAATTCACTCAACATATAATTAACCATTTAAAAAACACTTGTTTTTTCTTTAGAGCCTGGTTGCCCAGGGTGGAGAATAGTGGCACGATCATAGCTCACTGTAACCTCGAACTCCTGGGCTCAAGTGATCCTCCTGAGTGGCTGAGTTTACAGGCACTCGCCATCATGCTGGTGAATTTTTTTTTAGTAAAGGTGCTGCTGAAACAAGCACAAGGCAAACATTTTTTAAAAAAGTTTTTTGTAAAGACAACGTGGGGTTTTTTTTTTTTTTCAGTTTTGGCCGGGGCCAGGCTCAAACCCACCACCCCCAGTATATGGGGCCAGCGCCCTACTCCTTGAGCCACAGGTGTTGCTTGAGACAAGGTGTTGTTATGTTGCTCTGGCTGGTCTAGAACTCCTGGCCTTAGGAGATCCTCCCATATTAACCTCCTAAATCACTGGGATACAGGTACAAGCCATCATGCCCAGCCTACTTCATTGTTCATTTTCCTTATTTCTCATCTGTCTTTTATGCTAGAGAAAGTAAAGCAGAGTTTTAGAACACGGGTTAAAAAACCTTTTCTGTAAAGGGCCAAGTAGTAAATATTTTAGGCTTTGTGGACCATATGGTCTCAACTGCAACTGCTCAGCAGTTGTTATCACATGGAAACAGCCATAGACACCACATAAATGAGTGAGCATGCCTGTGTTCCAATAAAACTTTATTTACAAAAGCAGATATCAGGCTGAACTTGGCCTGTGGTCTATAGTTTGCATGGGTTGTGGTATCTAAACTGGCCAAGGCTATATCCAAGCTCTGCCCCTCACTTGTGCTATCATGTTGAATAAGCTCCTTGACTTCAGTAGACTTCAGATTCTCTATTTGTAACATGGGCACAAAAAAAGTATTTCCTTTCTTTTTTTTTTTTTGAGACAGTCTTACCATATTATTCTGGGTAGAGTGCCATGGCAGGATCATAGCGCACAGCAACCTCAAACTCTTGGACTCATGTGATCTTTTGCCTCAGCCTTCTGAGTAGCTGGGACCACAGGAGCCTGCCACAATGCCCAGCTGATTTTGTCTATTTTTAGTAGGGACAAAGTCCTACTCTTGCTCAAGTTGGTCTCAAATTCCCAAGCTCAACGGATCCTCCTGCTTTGGACTCCCAGAGTGCTAGGATTGCAAGTGTGAGCCACTGCACCAGGCCTAGAAAAGGATTTTCCAGTTAGGATTATAGGGAAGTGTAAAGGAATTAACATTTGTAAAATACTCAGAGCCAATCTTTTCAAAAATTATGTTATCAGCTTTAGCCTCTAAGTGTCAAAAGGGCAGGGCCACATCAGCTGTCTCCTTAGTGCCTGGCAAAGTACCTTGCAGAAAGTGGGCAGTCAAGAGATATTTGTTAACAAATGAATGTGTAAATGAATGAATGAATGAATGAATCATCTCCTTTTAGCACCCAACTAAGAAAACTATGGTTTCTCTAGCTGTTTTTTTAAAATATAAAAGTGCTTTTCTTTTTTCTTTTTTAGTAGCCTTGAAATTTCTTCAAGCCTGACTTTTAGCTGAATTATTTCTATAGTTCAGACTCCAGCGTCAGCCTGAAATGCTGAAATTGAAGCCAGAATAAAAGGGCAGTCTTCCATTGTGCAAACCAAACATCGTCCCCAGCATAAAAATCTCAGAGTATTATTATAGATCTTTGGAAAAAATGACCATGATAACTCGTGGTAGGTTTATAATCACAGTCAGAGGGGCAAAGAGAACTTATTTCTATGAACTTCTTTGATGGACTGCTGTTACCTGTGGATTTCTTCTTAGAAAAATGCGTTTAAATGCATAAAGTGAAATATACAAGATTATAAAGAAAACAAATTATACTGAAACACAATTAAATGATATAATTAAAATATTAATAATGAAATTTGCAAGATATCTATCTCTCTATATACATACCTCTTTAGTACCACATTAAATATAGCAGGTCTAATAACTAACATAATTTTGAAGTAGTTATGAGTAGATATAATATTTTAAGTTATCTGAAACAACGGTATTATGCTATAACATATTTGTGATTCTTTTGGTGAGAAAGTCACAGACTTTGCCAGAATGACTGTGGTCTATCGCTTAAAGTCATGAAAAGGAAATGCTAAATTTCTTTTTTATGTGCTTTCTTTTTATTTTAAAAATTTTAAACTTTTAATTATTATGGGTGTATGATAATGGTATATATTTATGAGATATATGTGATATTTTCATATAGGCATACAATGTGTAATAATCAACTCCGGGTAACTGGGATATCCATCACCTCAAACATTTATCATTTTTTTGTGTTAGAAACATTCCAATTCTTTCAGTTATTTCAAAGTAATGACTTATTTCCTATAATGACTTCTTGTTGACTATAATCATCCCCTTGTGCTATCAAATATCAGCTCTTGTTCATTCTATCTAACTGTATTTTTGTACCCATTCACTGTCCCCACTTTCTCCCCTACTCCTTCCCAGCCTGTGGTAACTGTCATTTTACTCTCCATGTCCAAATCATCTCCAAAGAAATCTGCCTTTCTGTGCTTGGCTTAGGCTATGCTAAATGTCAATTAGAGGTTAGCAAAGATAAGAATGCAATTGTTTTCCCCCATCCATGGCCCACTTAGGGGTCTGTAGATCCTCAGGTAAGAACTCCTTATCCAACCTCACATAAAACAGATGAAAAAATGCCGGCCAGAAAGAAAATGGGGGTTATCTAACCCTACTGAGCTGTGGAATAGCAGGGATTAAACTAGAATCCAGAAGTTGGTAATACCTTCCCTGGAGGGCTGTTGTGAAGAATAAATGTAATAATATATGCAAATGCTTAGGACAGTACCAAGGACACAACAGCTATTTCTAGAAAACTCATGGCAACGTGGCCACTTGACCCAGTAGGAGCAGCTAGGTGAGACTTTCTGGAATTGCTTTAGAAGAGGCCAGACGCAGTGGTGAGTGCCTTTTACCTCTTTGTCCCTTTCCTCTCCCTGGCTGGAGGAGGGATGGTAAGGCCACATTTTAGGGAGGGTACAGGCAAACACCTGAAGGAACACAGCCCCTCCTGGCAGTATGGATTAGCCATACTACCCTCAGAGTGCCTACCTCCCAACTTCTCTATCAGAGGAAACAAAGAAATGCTTTTGACTTTTTTAAGCCACTGCTATTCATCTTCTGTCATGAGCAGCCAAACTCACTCCCTAACTGACACGCCATTCTTCCTGGCTAGGTGACTTACCCTCTTGTGCCTTGAGTCTCTCATTTATAAGGGCACCATTCAAGATATTTGTCTGTTGTTTTGTTTTTTATTTATTTATTTTTTGAGGTAGAGTCTCACTCTGTCACCCTGGGTAGAGTGGCATGACATCATCACAGCTCACAGCAACCTCAGTCTCTTGGGCTCAAGCGATCCTTATGCCTCAGCCTCCCAAGTAGCTAGGACTAAGGGAGCATGCCATGACACCTGGCTACTTTTCTATTTTTAGTAGAGATGAGGTCTCACTCTTGCTCAGGCTGGTCTTGAACTCCTGCGCTCAAGCAATCTACCTACTTTAACCTCCCAGAGTGTTAGGGTTACAGGCATGAACCACCACACTGGGCCCCACCATTCAAGGTGTTGGGATGAGGATTGGAGAATACAGAGGAACTTACCCAGTGCCTGGCACGTAAAAGGCAGCTGTTATTATTATTACTGTCTTGGTAGATCTCACTTTAGTGTTTTTTCTACCATATTGACTTATAGCTTAAAAACCACATGCATTTGGCGGTGTCCATAGCTCAGTCGGCAAGGACGCCGACCACATAGACCTAGGGTGGTGGGTTCGAACCTGACCCGGGACTGCTAAGCAACAATGACAACTGCAACCAAAAAATAGCCAGGCATTGTGGTGGGCGCCTGTAGTCCCAGCTACTTTGGGAAGCTGAGGCAAGAGAATCACTTAAGCCCAAGAGTTGGAGGTTGCTGTGAGCTGTGATGCCATGGCACTCTACCCAGGGCGATAGCTTCAGACTCTGCCTGAAAAAGAAAACCACACGAACTTGTACACAGACTCAAAATCCTATCAAGCTCTCCCCGCACCCCAGGCAACCCCCTCCAGCTGAAGCTCTGTAGGCATCACAGGCCTCAAATTCAGCCTTCATGGAATGCTGATCACGCCCCACAGAAAGGAACCGTTTATGAAAATGCTGACAGAGACAAACCCCTAATAATTAGTGGCTAGCAACCACAGACATGGAGGCAATTAGAAGGTTTGTATAAATTCAGGGACTAAAGCAACTTCTCATTTATTCCTCAAATTTCTTGCCTGAGTCCCTGAGATGTCATTTTTTTGCCCAAAGTGCTGACTTCAGAAGAAGAATGAGGGATGGGGAGTAGTAGAGAGGTCACAGGGGGCTGGGAAGAATCTCTGGACACAAAACACCTTCTCTATTCTAGTGGCCCCTCTGCTGGACCTTCTCCCATGTGAGCTGGGACCCCCCTGGGTTACATGGGGCATGTGCAAGTCCACAGGCCTGAGAAGGGGTCCAAGGGCAAAGATGGCCAGGGGTTCCTAAAGACATAGGTGACCTGCAGGCCTGTTAAAGTATGGTGCCATTTCTCTACCTGGGCCTTTTCTTGCCTTTGTCATTGCTTCCCTTAGCACTGAGGGTTTGGGGACTGTGTAGGCTGCTAATGCCTCCTAACCTGGGCCTCCTTAGATGTGGAGCCTCAGAGTGAGGCAGGCATGTGACTCTCTGTACTGGGGGCTGTTCAGGTCCCCAGAAGTCTAATGGACAGGTTAAAATTTGGCATTCCTTCTAGTTAATATCCTTCTAACATCATCTTTATAAAAATAACACTATATATATATTTATTTTGAGACAGAGTCTCGCTCTGTCACCCTGGGTAGAGTGCTGTGGCATGGTAACTCACAGTAACCTCAAATTCCTGGGCTCGAGCGATCAATCATCCTGCCTCAGCCTCCCAAGTAGCTGGGACTACAGGTGCCCACCACAATACCTGGCTAGTTCGTCTACTTTTTTTTTTTTTTTTTTTGAGACAGTCTCAAGTTGTCATCCTGGGTAGAGCGCCATGGCATCACAGCTCACAACAACCTCAAACTCCTGGGCTTAGGCAATTCTTTTGCCTCAGCCTCCCAAGCAACTGGGACTATAGGTGCTCGCCACAATGCCTGGCTATTTTTTGTTGCAGTTTGGCAGGAGTCAGTTTTGAACCCGCCACCCTCAGTATATGGAGCCGGTGCCCTACCCATTGAGCCACAGGCACTGCCCTCTTCCTTTTTTTTTGAGCTCAGGGATCCTCCCAGAATGCTAGGATTGTAGGTATGAGCCACCCATGCTCAGCCCAGCATTTCTTTTCTTTTCTTTTTTTTTTTTTTTTTGGGACAGATCCTTAAGCTGTTGCCCTGGGTAGAGTCCTGTGGTGTCACAGCTCACAGCAACCTCCAACTCCTGGGCTCAAGCGATTCTCCTGCCTCCTCCTCCCAAGTAGCTGGGACTACAGGTGCTGGTCACAACACTTGGCTATTTTTGGGTTGCAGCTGTCATCGTTGTTTGGCAGGCCTGGGCTGGATCCGAACCTGCCAGCTCAGGTATATGTGGCTGGCGCCTTAGCTGCTTGAGCCACAGGTGCTGAGCCTCAGCCCAATATTTCTGAAAGATCTTCCCTCTCTATCCCTCCTCCTACTTTGGTCTTCTATTTAATCTAGCTGTCTGCACCAAAACTTCAGGATCTCAAGGCTTTACTTTGAAGGACATTAAGAACCTTTTCACCCTCTCCCCAACATTTTCTATTTTCTTATCCAAGGAGAGTTCTCTAAGGGTTAAAACACAGCAACCTGCTTTTGTTATTCCTTATAATGAACAGCACCTTAGATCTTAGATCTAGAGATGTCATTCATATTGGGTTCTTGGTAAGCACTGCTTTGAGGGGCTCAGGGAATAGGATGAATGAGGAGAGGGACTTGAGGGCTTGAGGAGGGTGGTCATCTTGACCAACTTCTCCGGAACTGACTGTCTGTAGCATCCTCTTGGGAAGGTAACTGGGACCAGCAGTGTGAGTGCAAGCTGTGAAGGCTGAAGGCCTACTTTTAGAAGAGTCTGTCTCCCCCGGGGGAGGAGGTGGGATCTGGGAGGTAGGGAGACTGATGGGGCATTGTCTTCCCTGTCTGTCCCTCCCTGGCTAAGGGCTTCTGTGATGGAGTCACATCAGAGTCCTCAGCTACTCCCAGAGCCAGCATGAAGGGTCCTGGACCTGAAGCCAGCTCCTGTCCCCGCAGCTTTCATTTCCATACCGCAGGCCTCCCTGGCCTGTTCCTGTTGCTGCATCACGGTGACACAGTGCAGCAGATGGGGCAGTATGAACTGAGTCTGAGCCAAAATTTTGCCCACAGCCTATAATTTTTTTTTTTTTTTTTTGCCATTTACCCCTGGTATATGGGGCCAGCGTCCTACTCCTTGAACCACAGGCGCCACCCACACAGCCTATAATTTCAAAAGGATTGATGGGCTGTAGGTCCTGCTTTCACTTTCGGAAAAGTAATGTCGATAATGGAACAGTGTGCTGTTTCCCAAACTTCAGTAATTAGCCTATCCACCTCGGGATCTTTGCTATTTCTGCAGACCTCTATTATTTACATAAATTTTATACTAATGTCATCACTTTTTCACTCAATAAAACTTACTTTAAGAGGAAAATGTTATGTCATCTGCACAGTTGAAATACTAGCGTCACTTGCTCTAAAGAGATGTTTTCAGAAGAAATAAATAAAATTAAAACAAGACAGCATTAATTAAATTTGGGCTCTGAGGCTGTCTGTCTAAATTTCTGAGCCTGAGGTCTGGCATCCCTTTACTTAAAAAAATAAAGTAAAAAGAGGGATTAGCAAGTATTAGAGGGGTGTTTGGTACCACAGGACAGATCTCTGGGTGGCCTTGGACTGACCCAGTTCTCCATCCTTTCATGCTTACAGTTTTCAAGAATAACTGCAGAATGTTTTGGGAAAGTAACAACTTGAGGCTTAAGCCTGTGGCTCAAGCAGCTAAAGTGCCAGCCACATACACCTGAGCTGGCGGGTTCGAATCCAGCCCTGGCCCGCCAAACAACAATGATGGCTACAACCAAAAAATAGCCGGGTGTTGTGGCAGGTGCCTGTAGTCCCAGCTACTTGGGAGGCCGAGGCAGAAGACTTGCTTGACCCCAGGAGTTGGAGGTTGCTGTGAGCTGTGATGCCATGGCCCTCTACCCAGGGGACAGCTTGAGGCTCTGTCTCAAAAAAAAAAAGAGCAAAGTAACAACTTGAGACAAGGAAGAACTGTCCCGTATAGCCTGGATTCTGCCCCTCCTAGAAAGAGGATGTCCTTTAATGCTTTAGCCCAGTGTGTCAAGTGGCCCCTCGGGTATAAAACTCAGGGTGAGCTGCTTTCTGGGGTCCTGAGCTGTGGTGCAAGTGGTGAATGTGCAGAACGTTTTCCTATTAGAAACATTTAGTACATTTATAATGTTGTGCAACCATCACCACTATCAAGGTCCAGAACAGTTTCATCACCTCAAAAGGAAACCCTATATCCATTAAGCAGTCACTCACCATTTACCCCTCTCCCTAGTTACGGCCACAACTCTCTCTGTTGCCTTGCCTAGAATGCAGTGGCGTTATCATAGCCTACTGCAATCCTAAACTCCTGGGCTCAAGGGATCCTCCTGCCTCATCTCTGGAGTAGCTGGGACTAAAGGTATGTGTCATCATGCCCCAGCAATTTTTTTATTTTCTTTTTTAGAGACAGGATCTTGCTGTGTTGCCCAAGCTAGTCTTGAACTCCTGGCCTCTGGATTACCTGAGCTCAGGAGTTCCAGACCAGCCTGCTCAACAGTGAGACCCCATCTCTGAAAATAACTAGGTGCTGTGGCAGATACCTGTAGTCCCAGCTACTTGGGAGGCTGAGGCAAGAGGATCACTTGAGTCCAAAAGGTTGAGGTTGCCATGAGCTATGATGCCACAACATTCTACCAACGGTGACAAAGTGAGACTCTGTCTCAAAAAAAAAAAAAAATGGGGAGGCCAGGCATGGTGGCTCACACCTGTAATCCTAGCACTATGGGAGGCTGAGGTAGGTGGATAGTCTGAGCTCACAGGTTTAAGACCAGGCTGAGCCAGAGCGAGACCTCATTTCTAAAAATAACCAGGCATTGTGGTAGGTATCTGTTGTCCCAGCTACTTGGGAGTCCGAGGCAAGAGAATCACTTAAACCCAAGAGTTTGAGGTTGCTGTGAGCT